AAGGGAAATCTGAGGCGGTTTGATGGTGGTTTTCAATACCCACAGTTATGGGGCGTAAGTTTTTTAGGAGATAAAAATTTCACTTTAAATCATTCCACAGTGATGCTACAGGAGGTTACCAGTGGCAAGGGCTGAAGGCAGCACTCAGGAGGAAAGCTTACTTGGAGGAGGGAAAAAAAAAAATGGAGGATGAACAACTAATCATAACTTTAAACAGCAGATGTGGATGCGAGTCTCTCTCCTTCCCCTGTCCTCCTATACTTGATAATACTTCACATTGTGAAGTGAGAAAACGATTACAGTGATTTGTAGGTTGAGGCTGTGAGCACACCTGCCTGACATGGCCTTCCTTTTGCTGCTGCTGCTACATGTCAAAAGGCCCATCTTAAATTCTGCGTAATCCAGACTCGCATCAGCAGGAGCCCTCTGCAGGGAAGGAAGTTCTACTGCGACGCTAGATATATATTAGACTAACATTACTTAAAATACTGTGTGCACTGAAGTATTTCAAGAACATATGCACTCTGTTAATCAAACTAAAGGGAATTAGTGATTTCCTAATCTACCGAGTACTTTAAAAATTCTCCATGAAACTGCAGCGTTACGAAAAAGAACAATCTGAGTATGCATAACAGCAGAAAAAATAAAAGAGAAAATAGTCTCATGTAAATCACAACTACATGTAAAGTCTCCGGTTTAGTTCATAAAATTATTTGATTAAAATATTTTAAACATCTCATTAATGGTATAATAATTTGCAATGTGATTTATGCAACAAATTCCACCCATATCCAAAAATACCATATATGTAAATGCTTTTTTATAAAACTTTATACAATTCAAGCTCTCATTAGGTAAGCCTATACACAATTCTCACAATCACCTAGGTAGAAAGTCTTCAGAAAAGTATATTCTCAGCGAGTGCATGAACGACAACGCTTCCACGAATTGTCCCTTTTGACAATCGATTCTGCTGTGAATCAAACTCTTATTGCTTAAAAATCAAAACAGACGGGTTTCATCAACATCAGACACACCACACCAGTCTGGGCAAGGGACCTGCTTTCAGTTTTACGGGACAGAAATACCTACAAGCCTTGTTAGCATTTCCATAAAGATTTCCCCATAACTGTTGCCTGTGCTGTACGGTGTGTACAGGGAACAAAAGAGGCATCACTGACAGGGAGGGAGATCGATGGCAATGCATATGCTTAGTGACCGGTGTCTCCCTCTTCATTTTCTAATTAATTCTGTACTCTGATTTCTGCCAATGCATCTCCAACTATTAACTGAAAGCAATCTGACCAGATACGAGACACTACAAACACCAAACCTCAAATGTGCAAGAACGCTGTGAAGATAATGCCTTTGCAGGCATCAATTCACAGCTGGTACTATGCCGAAACACCTCTACAGCAAGCTTTATTTACACAACTTCCAATTAAAAATACTGTTATCTCTCAAGCTACATTTTAAATTAACAGAAATACATCCATAACAACTACTGGTTAAAAAAAAAGATAAAATTATTTTATTTTTTTTATTCAAAATATTCTGACAGTTTAACAATATTCCAGGTGCATTACAAACATTGCCATAGTCAACACAACAATCAATACTTTAAGAGCATTCAAACACTGAAGACTTATATCTTAAAGCAGAGACAGGAGAATGTGCTTATACTAAGAGCATACAGATAGTTTTCCAACAACTGACTTCTGTGAGGCAGATGTCCGATTTTTCCGGCACAAAATGGGTTAAAATCCAGAAGAGATGAATTACAGAGGACAAAAATTCAGATCTATAAATGTTTTCCCCCATATTTTCTATAAAACATTGTGAATTTATCATACAAGGCCACTACCAGCCTAGCCTACTCTAGTGTTGACTACTTACGGGATAGAACAACAAAAATCATAACAGAGAAACCAGCGTCAAAGCAAACAAAACCACAAACTCTTCCTAGAATATGGCTTAAATTAGTTCACAGAGAGTTGGGAATATATTAACTATATGATGCCATGGAAATGCCAGGCAGAAAAGACGACTTTTATCTTCCCGATATTTTCCCCTCAGCCTTCACCATAACTTGCATAAAATTTTCAACAAAATGATACTGCCCCTCCCTGCAAGTGCCTTTTCCCATGCTTCAAAAACATTATGTTACTAACAGATCGGTTTCATTCTTGAATGTATTGGCCAATATTAGCTCTAAAGTCTAAACAATGTAGTTCTACACATAATACCTTCTTTCTTCCAATTAACCCAGGTTCTCAAAGCGCTAAAATTTCAGATTCAGTTAAAACAGCATATTTATTTGAAAAGGTATTTCTCTCTTTCTGCTATAGAAAACAGAGGTCAAATCGAGAACTTGCAAAGACGTGTACACAAATGAGTGCATAGTGCAGAACATCGTACAGAGAGAGCAGCAAGGCCACGGTGTCACGTTAACTCCGCATGTAAAAGATGTATGTTTCCAACAACCAAATCCATTCTAAGAAGTTTTACTTCTGGGGCTTGCTTAAAGCATTAAAATCTTGCTCTAGAGATGGCAAGACTGCTCCGTCCCGACTTTTCGTATAGCTGAATATATACGCGTGTTAGGGCAGCCACATACACAGCATACAGAAGACATATGCCAAAAATGCTTTGGATACATCATCCTGATCTCAAATATTCCATATGAAAGCTTTGATTTTTCCTGTGAAAAAGAAGGAAGCGGGACAACTTTCAAATTACACAGCTTGCCTGTGTGTTATTAAAAAAACCAAACCAAAACAAAACAAAACGAACCCAAAAAACCAGAGCCGGCTTTAGCCCAGGGTAAGAGAGCCACAACTCCATTCCGACAAACGGAGGGACGTCTGGCTGCTCCAGGGCTGAACTGGATCTTCGCAGTAAAGGGTCCTTTGCCTGTATTGCGCGCAGTTTCCAGGCGGTGCTCCCCAGCAGCAGAAACGTGAAACGCTTGTTGCAGAAGTACAAGCAGCAAACGGCTAGAGGAAATCTCTGTATGCTTACTCAAAATGCTTTGTTTCCCCATTCAATTAAGTTTGCTTTTAAAAGCAGTGTTTTTGGAGAAGGGCCATCGGAACACAAGGAGTGAGGCACTTCCCATAAGTCACGGCACCAGACACTCCATTAACAGACTGACTTAATCTCCTAAACCAAATTAGTTCCTGGAACATCTCGCATTTGCATTCTTTTAGTCTTCCTTAGGAACAATCAGTTGCTCCAGCAGTTGTGCAGTTTAAGCCTGTTATGATATTTTACACCAGCATTTTCTTAGCACCTCAACACAAATTACGCTGTAGCTTGTCTGTGGTGAACATCAGCTACGGACAACCACCAAGAGGGGAAGCGCCCAAACCAGTGTTGAAATAACAGCAACATCGTCCCGTGACATTGAAAACACGCTTTTTGATACACTAGCTTCCAGATTTCTGACTCAAAACAGGATTTCTCTCCCCAAGTAGGGTTAACTCCAGTTATTTAAATACAGTAAACACAAGAGGGCAGTACTGAGGACATCAATCCTGCACTTCAGAGTTTTCAGCCCATTTTCTAAAACCTGTTAATGGAGATACGGCTCAGTGTCAAGGCTAAGTGGGCAAGTGTTTATCTATGCCAAAGTCGTTATGGGAACTAACATAACCCTTGCTTACTGTACCACTGTACTCCTTGGATTTAAGCCAGCCATACACATTTCATCCTACTAATTTACCTATCCTGCTTCATCTCGAGTATCTTCATCCTTTCACACTCCCTAATTAACTATCAACTATTTTCCTGAGTGAGATTATAAAAAGTTAAACCCTTCTACCAAAAGTACAAAGACAAATAAAATATAGAACAATACAAACCCAGTTATACAGCATTACAAGTGCAGAAATTCTTCATGTTGTTGCTCTTCTTTGTTATTGGCCCCCAGTAAAAACCATAGCAAAGAATTTAGTTATCCAAAATATTTTGAAGTACTGTGATTAAATTCTTCAGACCATAAATGTAGCCCTCATCCTTTGTGTTGCTCGGAAACACATGAGCAAAATCTATCATTCGGACTTCTACGTTTGCGCTTTCCTTGATCTCTGCTGGGATGTGACAGAAAACTTTTTCCAGTTGGGGTATAACGTTTCCGTTCAGATGCTCCTGTGTAATGCACGTGCTGCTTTTCCACACGTTGTCTTGCTCCAAGTTTTCAACCTGTAGTGAGAGTTGGCTGTGGTGCCTCTTAGAGTATGCCTTTTTGTGAAGTGCATAAAATTTGGACAAGCCTTTACTTACAGAGGCCTCAATTTTTCCATTCTCTGTAGAATTTATTACATGAATATTATTATTATACTCCAGTATGTCTCCACCTGATAACAGTCCTTTGGGCACTCCTCTTTTCTCTGCCAAGGTGACATCACTCAGCCGCACGGTTGTTGCCTGACATGAACCTTCGTAAACAAACAGTAACGAGCTTGCATAAAAGCTGAGTTGCTTCTGGCCCTCAAACCACTCCAGAATTTTTTCAATCTTCTGAATGCTGGCAGCTATTGCATCTTTTCTCAAGCAGGACCCATTGTGGAAAAACTTGGAGATGCCTGCAAGGAGTAAGAGACATTTGGGGATTACTGTCACCTCTGAAAAGAAAGCAAACATTTTTCATTTCTATCAGGATGAGAATAGTTCTTAATTTGAAGAAACAGACAGTATTCACAGAGTTTCCTTTCAGGCAATTGTTAACTGAATCGGAAGTGAACCAAGGAACTCGGATACCTTCAGTTACCTCACCTGTATAATGCTGCATAATAGTACAGATTGGATTTGGATTGTAAATAAAAATAACTAACCAATGTATCAATCAAACACTAGAGGAGCATGGTTCCTGCTCCCCACGTCATTTTAGCAAGCATCTGGACAGTTTTGGGCAGGGACCCATCAAATTCTCCAGGGATAAAGCAGCTCAAGCAGCTCTTTATCATGAGCGACAGAGCTGACAAATTAGTGCCAGCTCTGGAGAGGGATGTGCTTGTGCATGTGTCCTTCTGTCTCTTAGCGAGGGACAGATGAACAGAAATCAATTAATCATTTTAAATAGTCATCACCACCAAACAGACGGACAATGGTAGCATTTTTATTTATTGTTAACGTAAAACAACATACGAATCGACTTTGACTGAGAAAGTCACTTTAACTGAAAGATGCACTTCCAGTAGCTTTCTAAAACAAAAACCAGGATATATTCACAGAAGACAACTAGAGATAAATATATATTTTAAAAACATCTAATACTTCTGAAAGTTTTCTATTTCATTATAGTCTCAAAGCTGCAAAGAAATTGAATTCTACCGCTATCACCCCATTATTAGTAGTAAAAGACATGTGATGAAGAAATTCCTATAGACTACACTGCTGGTAAAGCCAACCGCAGACTTAATTTAGGATCGACAGGTAGTTCAAATGATACAGTAAACTGCTAACGACCCATCCAGCAAGAGGAGAAAAAGGGGCTTTTAAAATGGAAACACGCAGACTACTTTTTCCGTATAGTTCTATAAATAAGTAAATAAATGAAAAATATCCAGGAGCACCAAATTCTGACACACAAATTCCCTTACCGTCCTTTACTGTTTCCTTCGTCAAGCTCCTTCCGTAGTGCTGGTTTTGCGTCTCATAGCTGTCAGAAGAGACATGGTAAACCTGCAAGAAACAAGGAGGTAACTCCGTGTTTATTTCAACCAACCAATATTTCTGCAGAGCCCCGAGACACCTTACAGGCAGGCTACAAAATCTTTGGTATCATTTATCCCTGGCGTAACTTTAAGTTACTTGCAGCGGCCAGCGCTGCTCTCTAGTGCCCTGATTTGCAAAATCCTCCCCCTTCACACCTTGGGTGTCGAGGCTACAGCTTTCCTGCATGAGAAAAACATCGTTATGCTGGCAAAAAGCAATATATCTGTGATGGGAGAACATTTCGTATGGCACCTGCCTTGCAAATCGATGCTAAGACTTGACACTGTCATGCTCCTACCCATGTTACTACGATTCTTAAATCAGTAAGACGTAACAAGCTCAAAAATTCAACGCAATTACTTTGCAGTTCTGAAAACTACAAAAATACTAAGCCCGGCAAGCAAACCAGTAAGAAATGCTATGATGTGAGCGGGGTGACCCAGCTCCATGAGACCCATCTGAAACTGTAACTGTCAGCACAAATGAGGTTATACTAAATACATGACGGCAGTAGAGTGAAAGCTCGGGTCCAGCACTGATAGTGGCACATCAGCCCTCGCCTGAAAGGGCGGCAACTCATACGGGTACAGTTTTGTCCATATCAGGAATTGTACGAGCTTAACAACTGAATTCAAAAACGTTTTGCATAGAGACACATTTTCTCTCTAACTGAAATAATTTTCCACAGCAGAAACGTGCCAGCCAGCCAGGCCCGAGTATCATCTGTTTATGAGAGTGTAGACAATTCTTATTTGCAGAAATAACGGTGTTACCAAGCAGGCAGTCGTCTCTGGCAGAGACGCTGCGCTTGGCGCTTGTTCAGACCACCCAACCCTGCGGCACCCATGCGGGCTGCAGTGCTCTGCCCTCCCTTCACCCGCCCTAAGAAGAGAGGATCCCACGGAAAGCAAGTTGGGGCGCACCCGTCCCTGATCCCTCCCCCTTTGGGGTCTTTTTCTTGTAGCCCAGAGAGAAAGTCCAGGACCGTGAAACATCAGTGCATAAAAAGGATTGGTACCTGAGCAATAATTTATTAAAAAAAAAAAAAAAAAAAAAATTCTGTTTCCATTGCAGCTCCCCACCCCAAAGCCTCTCCCCCCCATCCAAACCACGACGAGCGCAGTATGAAAACACCGGTCCGTAACTCCTGCTTCGCAAAGCAGCTGGGAAGAAAAGTCTCAAGTAGCTCTTATTTTGACAAAAAAAAAAAAAAAGAAGTAATTAAATTTGGGGTCCCCAAGGAACTTAAATCATAGAGTGTGGAAATTGATTTAAGTCATCAACCATGAATTCAAGGGGCAGTAAATAATTCTGGCTATACTGAAGAAGTAACAGTTGTAAGCCTGAATATTTAAACTCACTTGATAGCAGAGACACTCCCCACTGTTACGATTCCTATTTCCACTGTTACGATAGTCACAGAAACTGAGGTCCCAACATAATTTTTTTTTTCCCCATGAAGCACACAGTAGAGGTACAGCATACAACGTATGAACCCAAAGATTACTTACATAAATACTTAAAAACTAAGTATTAAGTACCAAAGTTACTTTCAAAAACATACAAAAAGTTTCAAAAACCTTGTAATTTGAAGAGCCACAAGCCAAAGGTAATTAAATAAAGCAAGAAATAATAATAAAAAAAATTACTTAGGAAGAGGATCAAGAGTCTGACGACCACATCTAAGTTTTCACTAGCTGTGTCTTCATTTTAATAATATTAAACGTTCTCATTTAGTGGTCTAGGGGCAGCTTCCTCCATACAGCAGCACACTCCTGAACAAATAATCTTGTTTACCAGAACCTCGTCTCCTCCCCATAGGAGCTAACAGTTTTTGTGACATCGGCACTTGCTCAAAAATGCTGATTAAGATCTGCAAGCTCATTTTGTTTTCCAAAGAAATGCTGGAGCAGCACATAAGCCCCCTGTGCTTCTGGGCTGGGTTTCCCATGAAGCCACCCTACCTCTTCTCATAATTTGCACAAAACCATTCCCCCCTAAGTGGCTTTTGATGTAGTTTAGAAATACCCAGGCAGATGTGCATGTTTTGCATTAACAGTGCATTTTTAACTACCCAAAACGGTCGATGACAAGCTGCCAAGTCCCACACACATACCAACAGTGCAACGTACACATTTAACTATCCTGTGAACAAGCAAAGACTCAGAACACCCTTGGTTACCAACGGGCTTGGCTCCAGACAACAGCATTAAAGGGCAACATATATAGGTTGAAATCGCACATCGTGACCGAGTCGTGGAAGTATTCTCCATGTTAGCCAAAGAGCTGTCTCTTAATGCTGCTTCAAGCCTTTACTCCACTGTAAGGAAGTGACTATTTGAAACATTCCTGGAAAACCTCAACCAAATCCAAATACATTAAGTCCATACTGAAAGCAGAGGATCAGAAAACCAAGTTCAGACAGAAATAATCTTTCATCAGTTCTTGCTTCACCCTCAGCTTCCCACCATTCCAAAACACAGGGATGGCTGTGCTGTAGTAGCAGAAGACTAAAATCAACTTCCTAGTCTACAGACCTCTTGCTTCACCGTGCTTTTGTTCATGCGGTCACCGCTACCGATCCACTACTAACCCACTACTAACTCTTCCCAAAAGAGTAGTTGCCTTTGAACCAACCTTTTGCTGTATCCCTGTTGCTGCAGCTCTCTGTGCTAGCCCATTTCTGTCAAAATGATGACACGTCAAGGAAGTCAAATCTGTAACCTTAACAATGGTCAAGAAATTATTAGACAGGAACATCTCATTTTTTGTACACCTGCTCATACTTTATGTTTGCTCTGTATTCACAAGGAGTTTCACCATATAGCAAAAGACAGGGAAAACTTTGTACTATCTGCTACACATTGCCTTCAAGAAAACTCCTGCTCTATCAGTAATTTTTATACATTCTAACTCCACAAGATCAGAGCTGTTTTGGCTGACAATGCAGAGGCTCCTCCTCATGCCTACAAGCAGCTCCCATTCGGTGAAGTTTCTGCATGAACAGAACTGGAATCCAGCACGCTAACCGGTTCAGTTTTTTATCAGTAGTCGTAAGGACTCTGTACGGGCAGCACATCAAAAAATGCAGATGATTTAACTGTTGAGGGAAATTATCTTCGGACTTTCTCAACCTGCATTGGGCTTTTGTTTCCCAACGAGGTGCTAAGTTATTGCTGCTTGCACACGCACATGTGTTTTTGTGCCCTTTTTTCAATTACGGTTAGTTCTTCTGACATTCTTGAACTGAGGGAAGCCTTGAGCTAAAATAAAAAAGTTAGTCCAGTGTGATCTTTAAAAAAGCACAAGCCTTGCAAGATTTCAACAGTGGGATACACAGTTTAAGAAACCTCACAACTGCAGCTTCAGGACATTAAGCTGAAGACTGGATTGAGGAAAATAAACACCAAATGTTATGTAATGTTATTTATGGTAATTCAGTACCGACCTCCATGGCAAGGCAGAAAAATACACCCGCTGTTCAAATACTCTGCGGCAACTCCCTAACTTCCAGAAAGTATAATTTAAACACATATTAAGACTAGCCTGTTTGGTGGAGATACTGTTAGCACAAATAAAAATCTCTGTTAAATAACTTGCAGAGCTCTTTCACATCTGCAAAAAATATTAACCACATCACCGAAATTGGGGCGGGGGGGAAGCCAAAACATTGTGAGCGGGTGCGTAGAGTACTGCAGAGGGGGTACCTGCGGAGGGAAGGCTCACTTAACCGCACGTGCGACAGGGACTCGCGCGCCGCTGACGTTCCCACGTACTCGCCGGTGCCTGGGAAGCAATTTCCGGCGGAGCTCCCGGTGCTCGTCCCGGCTCCCCCGCGTGCCCCGCAAGGACACGGAGATTAGAGATCCACGCTCTGATGCCAAGACATCCAGACTTCAAAGGGCAAAGGGCTGAGATGTCCACCCCTCCTATTTTTTCTGTAAATATACTTCACGGTCATCCCCGTTTTACACTCACACAGGTACCCAGCCTGCTGCCAAAACTGGAGCCAAGCAGGCAGCACCCCAGCTAACCCCAGGACACCCGACATCAGCATCAGGCCACCGCCCGCGCAGGGGGCAACTCCAGCGCCAGGCCGAGGGCCACAGCTGAGTACCTGCTGCCTGGACCTCACAACTGTCCCGACGTAAATACACGGGTTTCCTTCATGTCTGAAGAGCCCGGGTTTTTCGGCCGTCCTGGGAGCTCTCTGGGACTGATCCTGCCAGAGTGGAAGACTTGAAGGCTGAGTTTTAACAAGCCTTATTTTTTCTTTTTCCGAAAGAAAGTAAAACAGGCATTTGAAGAAAAAATAAGAAAGGGAGCAATTTTTTTTAATCCATTCTCTTATTTGATACTACTGCTTTATAGTAATGCTGTAACACTATTACTGCTGCTGAAAGCATGCCCATTTATCGAAACCCCTTTGTTTAATCACCTCCTCCTCTATTATTTTTTTTTTTTTAAAAAAACCTTACATTTTTGTTGCTAGACCACAAGTGATGGAAGTACACACATCCCTGTTTGCTGCTAGCTTGAAAATTCACCACAGGACGAACGCATCCCCGCTCCCCCGTTTCTAAGGCTATACTTACATATTATTCTATCTGTTTTGCTTCTTTGTCCTTCCGGTATTTGACAGAGCGCACCGAAGTTTTAGTAAGGTCCGCACATAAATAAGTTGTAGAATGAAATTACGTGGAAGCTAATTCAATGAAAAAGCAGTCTAATAATCTCCTAAATGAAAGGAACGACGATACTGCAGTTAAATCATGAACCATTTTAAAAATAGCTTAATACTTTAATTTTTGGACTCCCAGAACTTCCACAGAGCACCTCATTAGAATGTATTTCTTTTATGCCTCCTTTTTATAGCGGGGGGGGCGGCAAAAAAAGGCCATCTCTCACCTCATCCATCATCAGCTTTTTCCTAACATACAGGAAATCGTATCAGCCGTAAGGATACAAGCGGACCAGCTGTCATATGTGACGAGTCTTTCGTGTTAGGAAAAATTGCTGGAAAAAAAGGCCAGGGTACCCATCTGCTAGAACTGGCCCGAGAGGATGATGGATGGAATCTCCTGAACTCTACAAGTGAAGTACTTCTGAAACACACCCTTCAATCCACTAGCAGGTACCGGACTTGGAGGAATTGCTGCGCTCAGCTCCGCAGCATGGATCCGGCACCGTCAGACGGGGAGACAGATGAGCCGAACTTGACTGCAAGAATCGGGGAGCGAAAGTTGACGGAGAGAAAAGCAGAGGTAACCAAGACAGCACAGGCAAACCAACCAGAGCCTCGGTTCACTACTCGCTTCAACCACCGCAGATATCTACTTCCAGACTTTTGCGGGGCTTACTTGTTTGGAGGGTTTTTTTTCTCGTTGGTTGTAGAGGGTTTTTTCCGTGTTTGTTTTGTATTCCTCTGTTTTCTTAAACATCAAAGCTTGAATTAGATTTATAAATGTAAACCAACCAACCAACCAATCAGTTCTGGTCATTTTTTACTGTGGAAGAATATGAACACTAGATGCAGGATTTAATAGCTTTACTTCCTAAATCTTGTTATTAACAACATCAGAGCTTATAAAAATTACCAGGGTACTAGAAAGGGTTCATAAGGAAAACTCATAAAAGGGACTCAGCTACAGTCAGTTTTAAAATATCTTGCAGGAACATGTGCTGTAGATTAGGAAATTCGCTTGTAAAAACAGCTTTGATGAGGTATCTGCACTACTGCATGCAATCGTTCACAGGCACAAGCAATAAAAGCAAACGATGGATTATACTGGTAAAGTTACATAATCACCAGTTTGTGCTTTAAAAACAGGTTTCAGAAATATTACGGACCACGTGGTATTGCGATCAAGATGCTCTGGAAGAAAAAGAAAACCTGCAGAAATTGGGAATCGTGGATTCTGAACGGATCGCGAATCCAAAATGAGATCATAAACCACACATTCGGCCTGTATTCAACAGCATACAAAATACTCTATTTCTAATACTGCATTGGCCTGCGAAGATATTTCTTATATATTTATATATTACTACTGAAACTATCTTGCAACTTGTATTTTTGCTATTGGAACCGTACCTTAGTTTTCCAATTTCCATTTCAAGTCTCACTACCTTCACAACAAAGCTATGTCCTCATCTGTTAAAGAGAGGAACCTCTCCACTGAAGATGAAACTGGGTTTTTAAACAAGGTTACTGAAATGACTGTATTTTGTAAATGCGTTCCCATGCGTTTGTTCTATCTTTTCAGTGCATTAAGATGAATATAGTTTAGCACATGCCAAATGCCAGAACTATGTACATAAATCAAAGCTCTGCCAGATGGGAGACTCGCTTCTTTTAAGGACAAACCGTATGTACTTTTTATATAAAACAGATGACTGCTTATTTACCAGTGCATGAAAAAATGCTGTATCAATGGCTTTTGGGGTAAAAATCCACTATAAGTAAGTTTTGGGGTAAAAAACCCCACGTATAACACATTTTTGCTTGTATCCCTTCACGACAGCTTATATGATGTATGCTTTAAAAAGTACAGGCAGCTACATTTTCTGTTTGTCCTGGCCCTCTCTTTCTTACTCGTCTAAAATAGGAACTTAATAAGCCAGCCCACCCCCCATGTTAAAAATAACGTTGAGCAGGGAGCTTAAAAAAAAACCCCTCTACTTTCTGAATCGTGTTATAGCGAGTTTTGTTCAGCAAACACTGGCAACTTTTATCGAGCGTGTTAGCTGTTACAGGCAGTAAACACCTGTACAAGAGAGTGCTTTTCATCATGGCCAGAATCTTGCAAAAATAAATCAGGCAGACAGGCAGAGAGCACCCCATAATCAAGAGGAGGCAAGCTGAGCAGAGAAAATGCCTTGTGAATTTAGACTTTTTGAAGTGCTGCCATGAGGGGAGGAAGAACCTTTTGAATTCTTCTTTGGAAAATAACTTCAAGATGCAGTGGGTACCAAAGGCACAAAACGAATCTCATCTAGTTAAACACCGGATAGGAAACTGCAGTGCTTGGGGGAACCATCATTACACCTACAGTTTGAATTAGGGAATCAAAAGAATTTCGGCAACGGGATAAAGATACCAATGAATGACGACGTTGGAAACAATAGTCACAAGCAAAAATACCGTGGAAGCAAGCATTCATGCCTTTTGCACTGTGATGGAACAAAGGATGTGAAGTACATTGTTTTACACATGAGATAAGAAAGGTTGTGTAACGACATAAGCCAAATCCAAAGCTATAATCTCCAGCCTTCCTTCTCGATCTAAACTGTTTGACTGGTTTTTGACTCGACTCCCACATTCTCTCTCACAGGCTTACATAATTACTACTCATGACCGCTATAATTTATAGCTGTAAAAGCTTATCTCAAGACGGAGTTAAGGCTGAGAGCCTAGGCAGTTAAGTACAAAACATTACAGAGATATTAGAATTATTTCAAACAATGGTGCAATCTGTGTGCTGTTGCTATCGAACAGCAAAGAGGAAGCTTATCAAAGTCTTCAGCCATTTATGCTTGTTGATGCCGAGCTTGAGAAGCCCTGCCTTTGTGTACGAGAGAAGGAAAACAAACATCTCCTATCAAAAGAGAAAATTATTCCTGCGCCAGTCATAGCAGAAAAAAGAACTTTAAGTGCATTGCATCAGGAATTCATTACTGCCACCAACACATCTATGTTACTGATCCATAACCAAGCTGTACGGCTTTTGTTTACATTGAGGTTTTAGAGTAGCCAATACACAAATAATCAATCTTCATCTTTCTCTCCTCACCTAAAATAAGGAAATATAACAGGGTTAGTATGGACATCTGCAGAGCCGTACCCATCTCAAACTAACCTTCAGCTGACAGCTGTTCCTCAAGCACGTAAGCATCAAAGACGTCGTCTTCTGCTGGAAAGCTTTTTTAAATGCAGAACGTTACGCTGCTATGTATAACTACATGCATCACCTCTGAGAGCTAAGATACTCTTCCCTAAATAGAAAAGTTACATAAAAACTATTTTTCTTCTTAAAAAAAAAAAAAAAGAAAAATCTGGAGAGGATACAGCTTGTTACTACATAATTACAAAGACTGGTTCAGTATGTAAATCTCTGATATAAGCCTAAAAGTCAAAAAAGTACTTTGGTAATTTGAAATATCTGCTACGTGCGAATTAATTGCAGTTTTAAGTAACTATGGTCTGTCCCAACCACTTTCTTGTATACATGTACAAAATGCAGGTTGCAAACAGATTCCCAGCAGGGACACGGCCAAGTTGAACCCTTGTTGTGAACAAAAGCAGCATTTTGGAACATACTTCACACAACAGTTGATACCAGTACTACCAACATACTCAGATAACGCTTTATTTACGTAAAACTCAAGAGGACTTTCATTTGCTAGAAAAACCAGCCACTGTATCTGGTGTGGGACAACAGGCCAGAGCATAAGCTGAATGTGAAAACAAAACAAGTTCTTACCCTCATGCCAAGTACCAAAAAGCCAATCTCTTCCATCAGCGGGTACTTGCTGACCTGCTGCTGTATCTTCTCAGCTGAAGCATACGGATCATAACTTTTCTGACCTATTTTTACATCCATTATGCAAGGCTTATTAAACTTACGGGTCACATCTTCCAGTTTTAGATACGTATCTGTTAAAAAGACAAAACTTTCATAAACAGTGGGTCAAAGCAAAATAATTATATAGTTTCTACTGAGCTTCTGTGGAGGACGAATAGTTTAAGACTTAACAACACATGAGTTCTTTAAGAGTCTCTGAAATTTGTCTCTGAATACAGACTAAATTATCGTCATTGACACCCACTAATTCTGTTGACATTAAATTCTAAATGTCTTATTGTTTAGAAAATTGTATACAATTAAAGTGTGCTAGCCTAGCACTCAAATCCAAATTATTGCCCAGATGAAATCCATGAGTAGCTTTTATTAAGCCATTGCCGTATTTCAAATAGCATTAATAAGCACATACAGGTTACTACATGGCTGGTTTTGCAGTGGAGATGGTGTTTTCTTTCTCTGTGCGAAAGGCCTAGAATTAAAAGGGCAATTTTTCTTTGTCTCATTTTAAAAATGAAACTAACACTTCAGAGTCCTACCCTACAGGGGCCGAAATGCATCTCATTTTTCACCTTTTTATCCCACTCCCATCTGTACTCATTTCTCGTGGCACACCTTTTGGGGGAAACACTCCTCAAATCCTAGACTGCCTTTCATCCATTTCCAAAAGTCCCTTCGGGAGGGCTGGCTGGATCGAAAAACCCCCAAGCCATGGAGTGCATGAAGATTATGATGAATATCTACAATCTGGTCAAACTGGTTTATGCTTTTCTCTGATGCAGGTAAGAGACTATTTTCCAAGATGATCTACAGCAACGATTGTCAGAACACAAGAAAATAAACTTCAGTAACCACTCTACTCACAGACAACACTGCTTGGAGGAAGCTTGCACAGATCTCCAGCACTGGCCAGGGCACGAAAGGCACCAAGACAACACACAGCATTAGCACATGCCTCATTCTTCACACCAGCTTCTGCAAATCCCCCTTTTATCAGTCACAAACTTCACATTAAAGTTTGTTTTTCCTTTTAAGTACAGCCTATTCCATGAGTGTATTTCTTTGGCTTTAATGCAATCTGAATACACAAAAACATCGTATTATTCCTCATTCCTGCAGCGTAAGTCAAAATGGGATTGCCAAAGAAAGCAAAAACAGTTCAAGTTTAAAGAGCAAAGAGCAACAAAGTGCCTTCTTTTAACAGCTGTACAGACAGGTAACAAAACCAGATAAAGTCAAGGTAAAGGGCACAAGCAACGTTCCACTTAAGTGGAAACATTTTGTTAAGGATACGAAACAAAAGGGACCTTTATTACTTTATTAAGTCCTACTTAGAGCTTCAATTTTTACACCATTACGATCAAATGCCCCAATTCCCCAAAGTCCGTCTATATCAATCTGAAATAGGTTTGTTTTAATCCTGAGATGCCTGCTTTACCTATAAATGGGACTAAGCATATTGTTAATGTAGAGTCATTCTCAGGAAAGCATGTCAAACCAATACACTACTGAAAAAAATCCTGTCTTCTACTAACTCACTGTGTGGGCTTGCAGGACTCTTCAATGTGCTTTGGGCTACAGAATCGACCTAGCTGCAGCAAAAAGGTGTTCATTATAGACTAGCTCACCCATAAAGCTGGTTTGTTAACACAACTGCAGGGATATCCAGGCTAAAATAACTCACACTTAACTTTGAGAAGCCACGGGCAGCAAACATACTTGGTATTTGCTCACTAGATATCCCCTAAGGAGAAGCAGGACAAATACTCTCCCTGCCGGGAAGCATATTCTGTATCACTCGAAGTGCAAATGCCACTTTTTCCATTCAAAGTTTTTATACACAGGTCTAATTCAGTCAGACATGAGCACAGCTTTTGGGGGGCTTTAGGGAGCCACTACTGAGTCCAGGGGACTCCATAATACCTGTTAGCTATCTGTTATTACAACAAACATTGTAAAAATTTAAGTGTCATCCTTCACACCTATCCTTTTTGCATGTTACAGAAATCAACAGATTCATGTCATCACTCTCAAACAATCCAGAGAACAACAACTAAATGAAATTGAAGCTTTTCAGAACTCAGGTCCCAAAAGCACCGAGTCAGAGGTATGCTATAGGAGGGGGGAAAAAAATAAATACAAAAACATCTCAGGAAATGGCTGCAGTCCTTCACCACCAACTCCAAAATGCTTTGGATTAAGTTGTGAGCAACTCTGGACTCAAACTGCCACAAATACCAAGTAATACAAATTACGAATCACCACAAATTGTTCAGAAGCAATGTTTTTGTCAAGCCTAAAACATAACTGCATATGAAGTAGCGTAAAACATCTATTTCCATAAAGCAACAAAAAGAGAAGCCATAAAAATAACTAGCTTAAAAAGCAGAACCTAAATCTCCCCAAACCTAGCACGCTTCCCTTCAGACAACACGGAGGCAAGACCGTCGTGCTCTTTCCATCAAAGGCACTGGTAGAGCACCCACGGTTATCTGCTGTCCTCTGCTCCACTGGTCCAAATCCCTCTTTTTAAGCCTACAGCACCAAGATCCAGCATCTCCAAAATATTTAAAGGTTTTAAGTATCTGTCACTCTTTAGTTCCCCATTCATTTCAGATCTGTAAAGCTAGAATATCTCCCTTACTGACCTCCTAAAAATGTAACAATTACTATTTTTTAAAAATTAAGCATTAAAGTAACTTAGGAGCTAACACTAACCCTGGGAAACACTAATTACTTGGCAAAGCTTGTGAATTATCCAGAAATGACTCACCTCTCTCACACTTTTTGGAATTATTATTTAAATCATCATCGTTAGCTAACTGCTAGCTCAGAATTAAGACTATATCACAGCTGTTCAATACACGCCCCCACCCTCAAAAAAAGCTTTTTGTCCTTGCGGGGAGAGCAATGCCACCACAGATAAAGCGTTACACCAAGTTATTTTTTTTCTCGTTACAGCTTCAGAAAAACGCATCAAGTGTTTACGTTTCAATTTTTTCCTGGCACCATTCGGTTCTTATCTGCGTTGGGTTCAAGATCTATCGTCTACTGAAACGGACCCCAAGCCCACAGTATCAGAGCGTACCACAACTCCCAACAGTTACCCCTACAATACCTCGAAGCGTTAAGACTAAGGCAAACAAAGTAAGCTTCAGATTCAGACATCGGCAGGTATCGCCGCTCTACCTTTTCAAGTCAGGTGCTCTCATAGTCTTTGAGGATTTGACCCCAAGTGTCCTTCCCATGGTCATCGACAAGTCTGCAGCTGAGCCCAGGTAACTAGAGCACTCTCCTTCCTCTCCTTGTTTTGTTAAACGAAAAATGGCAGCTTTTTCAAGCAGTCCAGATTTTCTGCATTATTATATAGCACACTGCTAAGCCAACGTGCTTCTGAAAATCGTGCGTTCGCCCCCTAAAAACAGGTTACATTAAAATCCCCTGCAGAGAAAAGAATTCATAAAGATTTCTGTATCTTAGCTTTGGTAGATAATCCTGACTATATATTTCAAGGATTTAAACAAATCATTCCTCAGAGGCTCACCCTCCCCCTTTCTATTTTTCAGTGGCAGGGAAGGAGGCAGGAAGATGTGGCTTGACATATTATTTACATAGTTTATTACACTCCCAAAGGAGACAAACAAAAAGACCACCAAAATTCAGGAAGTATGCATGGCATGAACCACTGCAGACTTCCACACGTACGTGCTGATGCATTCAGTCCTCACTGGAATCAGAAGTGACAAAATAACTTGAGGCATCTGACTTCTCATAACTTACAAGACATCTCTCAAAACATACGAATAAGCAGGGAAAAGCCTCGGTTGCTCGCAGCAACAAGGGAAGAAAAGAAAGGTTTGAAGCTGCCTTATATTTATCTACCCCGTTCTCAGTTTAGGCAACAAATTTAAGAGCACAGTATGAAATGAGCATCGGTAAAGTTACTTAAAAAAATACAGGGGCAACAAGTAGGCAGCAAAAACCAGACCTCTCAGCAGGAGATACAAAAAGCTTAACATGGCTCCTACATCTTTATGACAACTTTTCCACTTCACTAACAAACTCCAAGTGCCCACAATGCCAGTGAACCCAAAGTTCAACTGGTCTCACTACAATTTTACATCAGCTTAGCGAGATGCAGCATCATCCAGCTCTAACTCCAGCTCCTGTGCAGTAGCACTAGGCATGCGATTTCAGCGTTAACAGGACAGTTATTTCACAAATTTTTATCGATCCTCTGAATATCAGTCCATCTTTTCCCTCGCCCTTCCTATATGCTCATTTACACTTAACACGTCACCCCTTTTAGCACGTGATTTCATCCTCTTACCTACATTTTTAGCACAGAAGCCTGATGTTTCTCCCTTAATTGTTTCTCTATGAAAATAAATTCCTTCTTTTCTCCACCTTACCCATGGCACTTCCTGCTTACCGGCTTTACGGGAGCTCAGAGGCGGTCACGGATCAAGTTCAGAGTCATCCTAAGTTAAGTTACTCCGTTTTTTTTCCTACTACACAGCTACGATTCTCTTCAGCCTGTATGAACCTACTCAAACTCTCAAACCTCTACCCAAGGTAACAACTCTGATGCTACACGTACAAGACACCAGTGACCGAAGAGCCTTCCTTATCTCATAAGTAAAAGAACTTTAGATGAAACCAGGACACCAATGGCCATCCTCTCTCTGCCCTAGCAAACCAGGCAAGCCCTGGCTCCTCCACACAAACGCTCCTAAAAAAATATATACAGTTCAGAATATGCAGCCAGCGTGGTGTGGTTTAGTTTCATTTGGGGGTTTTTGGAGAAACTTTTGTCCAATTTCACACCAAGAAGGAATTATGGGTTCACTACTCAGAGGTTGCATGGAGCTGTATCCCCAGAATGTGTAGAGCAGCGACTACCAAAGGAAAGATCAGGCTTCCAGTGTCAAGACTGCAAGAAGCTACAAAGACATCCTCAATCTAAATTCAATAATTAGATGCCTTTCTAGCAACTAGATTCCTTCATCTCATGCCATTGGCACGCATCACAACAGCTAAGCATAACGTTCCATCTTTTGAACCAGAGCTTAATCCACAGCTAATTTGGGGAGACAGGTAACAAACCTCATCCCTGATTTCCCCAAAGCAGCCTCTCCTCACTCTCCCTCCTCTGTGTGTTTACTTCCCCTCTCTATTTTTCTAAACTGGATTTCCTACTTTTTAGGCAGTCTAAATGCAACACCGGCGATTCTTTCCACCTCTGGTGCCAAGCACCGACGCACAAACCCAAAAGCATCACAGAGGTTTCCCCCCCCGTATCTGGCATTAGCAAAACTGCGTTTGCAAATATCCACTAAACAACAGATGACTTCCAACGTGAACGGCTACCACCTCAGCTTCAGCTGTGCCGAGCACGCACGTGTTGCGTTAAGCTCCATGATTTCCAACGCGCTTGATTTCTATCAAGACTACACAAAACCCATTAGTACCACTGATAACAGAGTTGGCAATGGAATGTTTCGTTTGAACCCCCACCACAGCTTTCTATGCAGAGGGCTCCTGATAGCACACACTCTTTTCAAGAAGCAAAACAAACAAAATCAGAAGTTACTTTGCCTTTAAACTGTTATTCCTACTGGCTGCATCTGGACTACTGATGGAGGATGGCCAAAATTTAGCCCCGTGGTGCACAGTGCTAGTGAATTCCCAAGGTAAACCAGGGATGTGTTGAGTTACTGCATCTTGGCTAGACCACGTATTTTTACACCTTAAGATCCTACTGTGAATAGAAAAAAATTGATTTGCAATTCGGAGGGGACATTAAGTGAGATCCATGACAGACATAAAATTATGAGGGAAGGAAAAAGATAGCTCCAGTAGAGCTACTTGAGTTCGTGCCAAATATGAAAGCGCGAAGTCAAATCTGAGCCAAGAAAGTGCTGGGTACTACCACAATCCTCCTTACATTTCTTTTCTCAGAGTTTAGACAGCATCTTTGGACCCATCTCACTATTCTCTTTGGAAAACAAGTCTATCAAGTGACAGGATAAGCAAAAGACAGAGTTATATTACAGGAGCAAAGCGTCCAGTTTTTACTGCCCGTGGATTTAAATAGACTCGATGGCATCCTTTTGTGTCTGCGTGTTCCAAATGCTCCACTTCCCCAGTGTGAGTAAGTAAGAGCAGAAGAAAAACTAGTTTCAGTTTTACATACACGAATAATATCTATTTTCTCTTGAAGAAACAATCTGCCAAATGTCCTCCAAAAACACCTTTTTATTCCTGGCTCCTAACATGTTTTGCAAACACAAAATTAAGATTACCAGAGCTTTGTTCCATTCCAACCAGTAACAGAGGATGACCAGCAGAGCTCCCCAGTAAGGTACCTGCTGAAATAACTGCTTTGTACGATATGGCATGGCGATGGGATCCAACCCCTGGAGATCCAGCAGCAGATTCCGGTTTGAACGCCTCCCCTTAGGCCCCAACCTACCCATTTTTTTCTCGCTTACACACCCACACAGCGCCTGTCTCTTGCACCGATGGCCTGACCAGACATAAACATGCAACCAGCCCACTCCTCCGACATGACCCAGACCGCAGCAGCGGATCTGGGGCAATATGCATCAGGTCCAGCTTCTCAGGAAACGTCTGTGGTACAAACAGCCATGTCCCATCTCCCCCGGGAGGAAGACCCCAAAGACCTCATCCAGCCAGAGGACTGCAAACCGGAACCGGCTGTTAGAGGGAACATTAGTGGGTTACAAAGCAAAGCAAATCAAAAAAACCACTACGGAGCTCACAACTGCCAAAAAATCAGTCTCCAGAAGATTCTTCCAGGAGGTTTGCATTAACAGATAAAATTAGAACAGTACCATTTGGTGCAGTAGGTGGTGACCAGACGCCGAAGTATTTTGGCAGATATTCCCGCAGCTCCAGAAGAATGCTGTCGCAACAGTCGGAGTCATAAACCTGAAATAAATTAGGGAGGGGTGGAGAGATCATCAGTTTAAAACATTCATTCTACACTTCCAATTGTCCCATAATTATAATTTCTTACAGTCTTTGTTTTCATATGTTTAAGATTTCTACTTTGCATTTAAAAAATGTACGAGACGAAGATGATCATTATCACAGTCCAACATATATGAACGGTATCCTGTCTTTCAAATTTTAAATTCGAAAAGACGCATCAGCTCTAACTAAGAATAATTTATGGCTTAACTTGAATAAAAATCCAAACTGTAATTGTTAGCATTGAAGCCTACTTAGGGAAAAGGGTGTTCGCCCATCCTGGATCCAAGGCTGCATAGGATTACTACATTGTGTCGTACAGCCGAAGCTTTTTAAGTTATATCACGTACAGTATGCAAGCTCAGACTGGATAGTATTTCCTCATTTCCTCCAAAACAACTCATCCTGTAACTACATCACACAGACAATGCGCAATTCAAATATATTTCTTCTCATTTGCTTTAATGCTTTCAACATTTTTTTCAACTTCTGTAAGAAAAACAAGGACAGTCTGGGAACAGCAGCTGGCTCATATTCCTGAAGGAGTAAATCTTTGCAGATTTAAAACGAAGCCTCGGATACTGTCTGCTACGGAACCGCATGCCTGTCACCAGTTTGCAGTGTTGTTGTTCAAATGGTTTCAAAACCATTCCCTTGACCAGATTCCTCTCATCCCGCTCGAAGATCTAGTTACAGCCATAGGGGATAGCCTACAGCCACAGGGGATAGCCTACAGCCACAGTTCAACATGCTTTGCAGACCGAAAGGTCTCTAGCCACACAAATACAGGGTACAGTGATTATTACTGCAGTTAGGAACATTCTCATCCTAATCCCCTTGCAGCTATCCCAGTTCTGGTGCTAGCAGACTGCTGTCCTGTCCCTCAGCCCTGCAGCGGCTGCGCACGAGTGACCAGGGCAAGCTAACAATTCCGTTGTCACCTCAGTACGCAATGAGTCAGAGCCCGCTGCGAAGTCAGAAGCAATGCAAAAAAAAAAAAAAAAAAAAAAATTACTTAAGGTGTTAACACTGCTCTGCAGAGTTGGCTCAGCTCATTGCTTTGAGATCCACGTTTAACCACAGTGGGAGAATATCTTGCGATGGAAACTACAAAGGGTCCGTATCGCAAAATACGCACCTTTAGCATTGCAATATTCATACATCTAGGGAGAAAAAAAACCCGGACCTGAAGCCCAGCTACTATTTTAGAGCATCAAGGCAAACCTCGGCTGTGACCCCCGATGCCGTGTAACTGTAGACAGAGCCTCGCGCAGCAGCAGAATGTTAAAATGAGTCAATGCGGGTTTGTGCTAAATTTAGGTTTCATCGCAGAAACCTCAAACTGGGCAAACTCAAATCACCAGAGTGCCTCAAACGCACGGGGTTGTTCCATAGCCCTTCAGGCACATCTAATACAGGGCTCTCCTGCGCTTGTACGAGCCACGATTCTGATACCTTTATGCCAGCACTGTTACTGGGCAGCAACCAAGAGGGTGATACAACCAAAGCTACACTGACTTTATGCCAGAGCGTTTATTTTGACCCATTCCTTTAACTAGCTCACGGTATAAGCCCCGTTTTGAAGAACGTAAGGAGGGGGGTGAATCCTCAAAGCTCGAACCCCACAAATTTTGCACAGCATGATGCAAAAACGCTGACGTACACCTACTGCCGCACCCTCTACCACTACTGTTGCTTCCTTAAGCACACAGGAGTTGCTGGGTGTGTATCTTACAAGTCACAGTGTCACATCACAGGGCACTGATCTCTTTTCACACGTCCTGGTTTGAGAAGCTGGCATCGCCTCTGAAGAGTACCGGTAATTGTATGTCTAGGTCTATTTTTCCCTCCACGTTAACACAAGCTGGTATGCTGATATTCTTGTGCGCTGCAATGAAAAACCTTGCTTGTTCCCGGGATCAGTGGCTGCTATTTGTTTTTATTTATGCAACATTCCTTTGCTGAGCCTCTGATGTTGCCAGCAGAAGACAGTGCTTTCCACAGAAGACTGCAATGTCGCTTGATCTTACTAGCTCAAGGAAGGAAAACAAAAAAATTAAGGGTGGGAGAGGAAAGAGAGAGGAAGATCAGCTCCACGCAGATGCTGAGGCACAGACCCCTCCACTGCTACCTTTTACAGGAGATTCACTGTTCCCCACCGTACAGATGGCTGTTCCTGGGCCAGGACTCCAAGCACTGACTGGTGGAATTACTTCATGCTGTGGGTATTTTCTGACAAGCGGTACAAACCCAATTTGTGTTAACTTTTTTAACTTTTTACTGAGTTTATTCTCATAGCACCTCATAGCCAAGACAGGGAATCGCATTGCAGCCAGCACAAACGCTCTTTTCCCAGGTGAATTTAAGAAGATCTGAGAGGCAGCGACCATCACGCAGTATCACAGCCTTCACATGGGAGCAAGTATATATTTTTAGGACAGGACAAAGAGGAGAGAGATGGAAACGAAAAGTGCAGCAGACAAGGAGAAACACTGAACGCAACTGAAAAAAACAGGCGAACGTAATAAAAACTCATTTGCTTATTTTACTGGCAAACAGATTCTGAGAAAATGACATGTCAGGAGGCCACTTCCATCTTTTAAAGAGAGCCAGTACTCTTGCTTTGACTTACTTTTTAATCACCAACATTAGGTGATTAAACTTAGCAAGTAACTACAAGTATACTCCTGTGTATTTCAAATAGAAGGATACAATAAAGATATTCAGATAATTTATAATGGGATGTAATAGCCCAAAGTCAAGGCCAAATGGGGAAAAGAGCTCCAGCAGCGATATCTTCCAAGCAGTCTATCCTTTAATACACTGATATAAGACATTTTAAATGGAGACAAAACTCAGGGTAATGCATTGTTCAGTATCATTACTTCAGCATAACAGAACTAAGCGCCTTATTTCCATCTCTCAAGAAGTTATCTTGCTCCCAGAAACAGTAATAAACTCCCCTCATAAGTTTGACGTAACATATACAAAGCACTTATTTGACCTTAATGTAGACCTCAATCTCAGCCTGTAATGTATTTGCATGTCAAACCAGAATAAGCACTCAGTTAATAAAGATCAGAGGAAGTCATTTGATGTGGGCAAAGCAGCAAAACCAGACATTTCAGGAATTATGCTCATTCCTATGCAGGAGAGAACCACTAACTGCTCGTTAAGAGAGGGGCCTCGTGAACAGCACCCATGCCACGGGCATTTCTTCTCATTTCATACAACCTGGTAGCAAGCTACACATCCAGAATGCCAAACATAAATGTATAAATGACAAAAGCATCCCTAAAATTACACAGGAAACAAACGGTGCAGCTCATGCTCCAAAAGGGTTCGTTACAGACACGGCTGGAAAACTCATGGAAGGGACAGGTTATCACTTACCCCAGAACAACCTTTAGAAATAAACCATTATATTTTTACTTATACCAGCAATATTCCAATTTCATTTCAGGCAGCTGTGCTTTTTTTTTTTTTTTTTTTTAATATAA